ACTAACTGCCCTTATGAAAAGTTCTTCCCCAAAAGTGTCTACCTGTGGAGCTATTCAGGAATATGTATTGTGCAGACTCTTTTTTTGTATCTTATTTTCAACCAAATTAACTTTCTGCTGCTTGGAGTTTGTATTTCTGTGTGGACAGGGGAGTGTTCACAAGAGCTTTAGGCAGCGTAAGCTGTCACTGCCACAAACAGACGTAGCTCCTGTCACTATCTCCAACATAATATTTCTTGTACTTCTTTTCTTGTGCCAGTAAAAAAAGCTTTCGTGCAGCATGTGGCAGGCTTGTCCAGGGAACTGATCCAGCAGAGGAATAAGCTCAGCACAAAAAGCTGATTTTTTGGCTGGATGAGCTCCCTGATTGGGTTCACCATGCAACTCCCTCAACTTGAGCTGGTGGGGAGGGAGCCGGGCTGCCTCTGCTAGGACTTCAAGTAATTGTATCTGCTTCCAGTATTCATCTTGTGGTAGGCTGGGTACAGCCTGTTGCAATGTGCATGAAGCATTTTTAGATTCTTAGTCAGATGTGCTCTAGAGAGATGCTATTTCCATCTTTATCCACCTGTTACCAAATGGTTTGCCAACACCAGATGATTTTAAGGACGTTTAGCAGCAAAAATCTCTCTCCTCTCCTCCCAGTAGCAAACAAGTAATCCAATGTTTTCATCTAACGACCAGGTCAGTCAGTGTTGTAAGACGTCATACAGACAAGTGCACACTGAATATCCCTAAACCCATCTGTCCTCAGAACTGCTGAGGATGGAGAAGTTTTCATCCTTTGGGATCTAAACAAGAATTGCTGTTTGGATGAGGATTCTGAACCACTTGGTTACCAGAATTGAAGAAGTCCATACATTTTCCTCATCTTGATTTTCATACAGGCGTTGGAGGTACCTGCTGACCGGCCCAGCTGCCTGGCTGGGTTAGATGGATTCACAGTTCCTCCACAATTTTTGTGACACTGCTCATCTACCTGCACTATTGTTTTCACGGGTCTTGTTGTAAAGATGATGAAATCTTCAGTGCTACATTGCATACCTTGCTCAATCTGTCATAACCAGTGCAGCTTCCAAAAATCTGCCTTCAGGAACACTTGCAGTTCAGACAGCAGCACTTACCTTGTTTTGAAAAGTTACCTTAATTGCTCAGTGTTAATCCCAGCCTCACTTAACTGCCTTTGTCATCATCTCCTGTTCTTTAAATCATCTGCACCTTGGTGAATAAATACTAAATCCTGCTCTGTTTATTATGTAGGTGATCATATTGTTGCTTGACCACCCTCAGTTCTACATTTGTTAGTTCCTTTGTGTAGTGTTTATATATATTAGTGTATTTTATTTCCTAGGAAGCAAGAACAGAATCTATTGCCAGACCTTTGGAGATAAATGAGGCTGAGAAGATGTTGAAAATTGCCATTGACTGTGTTCTGGTAAGCAAACTGATATTTATTTGTCTGCAAAATTACCATTCTTCTCCTGCAAGAAGAACACAGCTCTTTTTATCAACAGCCTAGGGTTGAGAGTGCCACAGCACATGTCACCTCCAGCTGGCTGGGCCAAGCAGTGCTGCACCTGGTTAGTTAATAGCTGGTGTTGACCTTCAGTTAATGGCTAATCCAGACTTTGGTCTTTACGTAACATCAGATGTGTGAACAGAAGTTGATCAAGGCAGAGATCAGTCTGTGGTGACTCCTTGTGTCCTGGTAATGAATACAGTCACTAATGATCCTTGTGTTTTATTTGGGAAATCAGTTGTGCTCAAAGTGAACGAGCCTGTTAATTGAAGGGGATAACTTTCCTGGTGGAGCAAAGGAGGTGTCAGCACTGTGATGATTGTGAGGGGGCAGTCAGAAATCCCAGCCTGCAGCTGAAAGGGTGAAGGATGCTAGCAGCAGCACCTAGGAGAACACATTAACACATTTCTGGAGCCCCCAACACAAGAGAGACAGGGAGCAGCTAGAACAAGTCCACCAGGGAAGAGGGCCACCAGGATGATGCGAGGGCTGGAGCACCTCTCCTATGAGGACAGGCTGAGAGAGTTGGGGCTGTTCAGCCTGGAGAAGAGAAGGCTCCAGGGAGATCTTATAGCGGCCTCCCAGTACCTGAAGGGGCTACAAGAAAGCTGGGGAAGGACTTTTCATAAGGGCAGTTAATGACAAAACAAGGGGAAATGGGTTTAAGCTGAAAGAGGGGAGATTTAGATGAGATATTAGGAAGAAGTTCTTCACTGTGAGGGTGGTGAGACAGTGTCCCAGGTTGGCCAGAGAAGCTGTGGCTGCTCCTCCCTGGAAGTGTTGAAGGCCAGGTTGGATGAGGCTTTGAGCAACCTGGTCTAGTGGAAGGTGTCCCTGCTGCTGGCAGGGGAGTTGGGACTGGATGAGCTTTAAGGTCCCTTCCAACCCAAACCATTCTCTGATTCTATGATTCAGTGAGAAGGAAAAATAAAATTAAAGCCCAGGGCAAGTGTGAGTGTTTTTTCCTCTTTAGCAATGTCTGGGGAAAAATTGAGGTATTTTAAATTTGTAAATGTCCAGTTAGTTCATTGTCTTGGTCACAAAGAACTTCTAAATTTTCATTGCCTGGCCAGTTTATGCTCTAGTTCATTATTATAAAGTTATTTGATAACCTGAGATGTGAGATTATTCAGAAGAATGGTCAGCAACTGAAAGATAATTCTAATTATTCCAGTGCAAGCCACAGTTCACCGTCCTTCTCTTTTAGGAACAAGTTCAAAAGACTAAAGACATGTTGAATAATGTGGCTTTGGATGAAGCCAATTTGGAAGCCAAGATTGAAAAACGAAAATTAGAACTGGAAAGAAGCCAGAAGAGGCTACAGACTCTGCAAAGTGTTCGGTAAAGATGATGAACTGATTATCTCCTGCTTAAATGAGTGTTAGCGTAAATGATGGAACTGTGCGTTGTCAATGCTTAGAGCAGCGAGGAGTGAAGTCTGTAATGAGACTGAGATGAGGGGCTGTGGAAGAGAGAGATTCTTCTCTTTAGAAATGCCCAGTCTGGATTGTAATTGTTAATTTTTTTCTGTTACTATATATTTTAAATCAGAATTTCAGGGCTGTTCAAAGTGGCCACAATATTATTTGGTGGGGTTGCTTAATTGCTGCTTGTGCTGTACAAAAAGCTCAGCTTTGTCCCGTCTTTGCTTTTGACATTAAACATAGATGGTGTCAGATAGTTCTGAAAATGGCAACTGGTGCAGACATTCCCTCTGTTCCCAGAGCCTTCTAACATTCTCAACCACCAATTAAAAAAAGTTCATTGTGCATCCTTGGTTAGGATCGGTTCCTCTAGCCAGTGATACAGCCTGCCATAAAATCAAGATGTTCTGATTCACAGTTTGGGTTGATTTCTTGCCCTTAATTAAACTGCAGGTTTATACAGTCTAGAAGAGTATGCTGTATTTTTTACCTCATATAAAAAGAAAAAAAAAAAGGAAATATTAGAAAAATGAGTGATGGAAGGAACAGACGTTGATTCATAGATGTGTTTTGATGAGTAACGCTCTGGAGGAAGTATATTGGGTAGATATGAAGCATCAAAGAGCAGTTTGGGGCACAACAGTTGGCTCTATAATATAAGGACATCATCACCTATTGGTGTCAAGTCTGGTTATGCTTGTAAGAACACAGCAAAGTTTTGTAGCAAGGTAGGTGACCTACCAGCCATGCTACAAGTTTTTTGGAGTCATGGAACAGCAGAATAATTAGCTGAGATTTGTCTGACGGAGGAGCCCAAATGCTGCCTGTCTGTCTGTTTGCAAGGGAAGGGTACACAAAAACTTGTCCTTTGCTATATGTAATTTTTGCAGGATGAGTTAGTGGGGTTTTTTGTTTTATGCTTTTTATTTTTAAATTGGTGTGGAACCTTAAAAACAAGAGATCCTTTTAGACTGGTTTAGTAGACGTGGAAAGGTAGCTGCAAGCCCCAGAATACTTATTTCAGAATTCTGCATGTGCAGGTCAATCTTTTGCTGAGTAGTTTGTGCTTGTTCTCTCCAGTCCTGCTTTTATGGATGAGTATGAGAAGATTGAGGAGCAACTGCAGAAACAATACAGTAGTTATCTAGAAAAATTCCGTAATCTGACCTATTTGGAGCAGCTCCTGGATGATCATCGACGGACAGAGCAAGAGATGTTTGAGGTAAGACAGCTTAGAAGTGTTCAGCAAGACTTTATATCACAGAACCCCAGAATTGCCTCGATTGGGAAAGCCCTTTAAGCTCATCCAGTCCAACCATGAACCCAACACTGACCAGTCCCCTATGACTAACCCATGTCCCTCAGCACTGTGTCTACACGACTCTTCAATCCCTCCAGGGATGGGGACTCCACCACTGCCCTGGGCAACCCCTTCCAATGCCTCAGAACCCTTTCAGCAAAGAAATTCTTCCTCACATCCCATCTCACCTGCCCTGGCCACAACTGGAGCCCATTTCCTCTTGTCCTGTCCCTTGGTCCTTGGTTGAACAGACTGACATCCTGCAGCTCTTGGCTTTGTAACAGAAAATGTTTTAATCCCCCTTGGTCAAAGCACTGCATTGCTAGTTGCAGAGCCAGCACGGAGTGACTGGCAGTTTACTGACAATCCAGTAGGCGTGACTGCTCTTGGACAAGCCTGATCACATAGCTTTATTTTTTTGAGCTAGTGAAGTTAAACCAGTGTAGTGATGCCCCTTTCCAGTCTCTGCCTCCTCTTGACTTGTTTTCAGGATTTTTTTTTTCTTTATGAAGAATGTTTTTAGCATTTCTAATCTTCCTTTTGCTACACACAGTGTATGTGCTAAGAGTTACTAAGCACTTATTTTATCGTCTGCCAACAAGTGATGTATAAGAGTTTCTCAGCACAGGGCTCTACAGTTTCCTCAAAGGAGTCCTCTTCAGTGCAAACAGCAAAGAGTATCAGTGCAAAGATCAGATATGCTGGAATCCTTTCTCTGTGACTCTGACTTCAGTTTTGTTTGGCAGAAATTCTGTTGACTGGCTGAATTCTATCAGTTCAGTGTGATTCTCTCTTTTGTATCCTGCTGGATAATCTGCATCTGTATCTCATCCTGCTCCGTGCTTTCCTTTGGGTGTTTACTGGACTGCAGCACTTTCAGCTGAGCTTTCAGTCCATTCCCTGTAGCTTCATATTTTACTTGTTTGGCTTTTCATCCTTCTCACAGTCATTATCCAGTGTATCTTCTGTTCTTCACTGAAAACATGTTTCAATGAATGAGCTCCCCGTGGACCTTGATACTGGTAGGTGTGCTATACCTTGAGTTAACCAGTGCTTCCTCTTTCTGAATCATCTTCTCTTTCACATGCAGATCATGTTTTATTTTGTCAACACAACTTACTCTTGTTCCTGGCAGAAATATGGGAGAGCTGTGCATAATGTTCCTTCTATCTGGCTCTGACTGCACGTTTTGCTTTTGCTCTATCTGTTTGTACCTACTGATTTGAAAAGTAAAATTATTTGACCCCGAATTTTTTAACCTTCTCCTTTTAATTGTTCATACTTGTGTTGCAGTAAAATGTTGTGAGCTGTGCTTAGGCTGCAAATAAGGCACTGTAACTTTGTAGTCCCTCATCTCCTGTGATCTGTCACTGTTGCATCTGTGAGATCTTTTTAGAAAGTCTTGTAAATCCATAGAACTGATTGTGCAGAGAAGCCTCCCCTTTGATGATCACCTGCACCCTGTTCCTGCCTCTCTAAACCACACAGTACAAGGGGCTTCATAACCAGGCTTCAGGCTGTTCTGCAGTCTAGAGAAAATATAATAATTTCCATCACTTTTTGGACATAGGAAAAGGTATTCTGTTGAGATGGCTCAAATAGTTTGCTGTATTATTTCCTTGAGGGATAAAATAACCCGTCTTTTAAGAGATAACATGGGCATTTGACAACTTGTTAAACATTGTGAACCAATTTCCCATTAACCTCCCTTTTCATAAGCGCTCTCTCTGTAGCTGTTATTTCACATATTTCTAATCTATACTCAGTTTGGTATTTTCATGTGTCTTTTTTATAATGTTCTAGTTCCTCCCCATATCTTTGGCCAAAAGAAAACATCCTCAATTAAATCATAATCTTGAAATGAAGCCTAAAATCTGATTTTTTTTTCCCTTCTGTTGAAATGCCATTGAGACTTCATACCAAAAGTAGAAATGTTTTGAACTGAGCTACCTGAAACTGTTTATAAATTCATGCACAGAAGTTAGTAATGAGTTGGTACAGCTCTTCAGGGGATTTTTGTTAAAAGATAAGATCTGTTTATAAATTCATGCACAGAAGTTAGTAATGAGTTGGTACAGCTCTTCAGGGGATTTTTGTTAAAAGATAATAAGACGAAGAAAAAGCCTTTGTCATTCAGGGCTGTGCCCGTGCTTAGAATATGAAAAGCACTTGTTATTTTCTTTTTTTTCCTCCTTCTTTCTGTGAGATACCTGGAAATCTACCCATGGTTTGGCTTTTCATTTACTAGGATAAGCAGGTAACAATGCTTCAGCGTTGTGCAGAATTAAAGAGCATAAAAGCTGGTGACAAAAAGGTGTGGGGTTTTTTTTCTGCACACTTCTATACCCCTTGTTATCTGCAGAATGCATTAGCAGGCATCAGAACTGGAAGCACCTTTAAGATACATTTTATGCTAAAAGCAAAATACCATCAGGTCTGCTGCATTTGGAACATGTTCTTGCCACGTCTGGTGGTCTGTACTTGGATGTCTCTATGACCTCAAGTGATCGAGTTGCTTGTGCTGAACCCTGTATCTGTTAAATAATAAACTAACACATTGTGTTAGTTTAAACCAGCATGGAATTCACCTGTTAAGTCCAGTTCTATAGCTTGAGCTTAACCCTGACAGTACCCTGGGACCATTTTGTTTCACTTCCTGCGTGTTCAGTCTTTTCACTAGGGTGTGTTTGGGAAGACTGAAAATAAAAAGGGAAAAAAAAAAAAAAAAAAGGGTACATTTGACAGTTGGTCTTCAGAAGTGGAGGGAGGAGCATGGGGATCAAGAACAGAAAACTGGAATATCTAAAAATACTTAGAATATCACAGAATCATCTAGTTAGGAGAAGCCCTTGAAGCTCATGGAGTCCAACCATGAACCCAACACTGACCAGTCCCCTATGACTAACCCATGTCCCTCAGCACTGTGTCTACACGACTCTTCAATCCCTCCAGGGATGGGGACTCCACCACTGCCCTGGGCAACCCCTTCCAATGCCTCAGAACCCTTTCAACAAAGAAATTCTTCCTCACATCCCATCTCAACTGCCCTGGCCACAACTGGAGCCCATTTCCTCTTGTCCTGTCCCTTGGGCCTTGGTTGAACAGACCCACCCCCACCTCTCTCCACCCTCCTCCAAGGGACTTGGACAGAGCCAGAAGGTCTCCCCTCAGCCTCCTTTTCTCCAGGCTCAACAACCCCAGTTCCCTCAGCTGCTCCTCTGTGTAAAGGATGAGTATCTAACCATCTCTTTGTGGGCAGCAATCCAGTGACTCAAGCAGCCATGACTGCTTTGCTGCAGAAGCTCTTGCTGTGGGAGAAGAGGAGGCTTTGTATGTGTCTCTTTTACAGGCAGATTTTCAGGAGCGCTGGAATCCAAACGATTATTTGAAGTCATTATGAGATGTCAGTGCTCAAAACCAGGCTCCAGGATTTGGTAACTGAAAGAGGATGAAGAATCTATGTCCCAACTAAACAGAGACTCGCTGGTGCACTCCTAGTTCCAAACCACTGGGGGACTTTTTAATGTTTTATTTTAAAAAGATGATGCGCTGTTTAATCCATTTCAGCTTGGTCTCTTGCCAACCTGGAACACCAGGGGATTTGTCTGGCTTCTGTCAGTCTTGATCTGCTTTTCAGGTGGTGCTTGATCACCTTTGACTACTTGTTGGTGAAGTAAAACTGTAGGTAGTTTATTACATGCTTGAAAAAGAAGCAGTTTGCTCTAAAATGATGCTGCATTCTGGCCAAAAGTTTATCATCTTGTGTCATTTTCAGAATCAACAGAGGAAAAAGTAACAAGGATAATTACATTTAATCCATTTTAATACTCACTGTCAAAAAACACTGAAAATTATGTTGATTTTTTTTTTTCCCCAACCCTGATTTGTCTTTTGTTCCACCAAACAAATCTTAATTATCTTCTGTAGTAGAAGGGAGAGTCAATTATTTGATCATCGCTGTGTATTTTGTTAAATAGCTTGCCAGAGAAAAGCAACAGCAAGGTAATTAGATTAATCCAGCACTCTGTGTGCTGCTCAGTACTGAGGACTGATTCCTGGACCCTTTTCCTTGACTAGGTGCATGTTTTCAGGAGGGATTTTTGTTCTGATTGAGAGACCGTTGCTGAATAACGAGACTAATCTCTAGCGCACGTAGCCTCGGAGCTGGTTTGGTACCCTGCTGACGTCGCACAGCTAATGACCTGGGCCAGAGTGCATTTCCTAATTAGAAAAGTGATTTAAAGATTGTACCCAAGCACACCATTTTAATTAAGTGCCATTGAGCAGCTGAAACACTCCAGCCTCTCCAGACTGCACTGTGTGGATGTTTTTGGCTTGTCCTTCCACGTGGTAGGTGTACAGCTGCATGGAGAGGAGCGCTCCACAGCTCCTGTTCTTGTCTTGAGCTTCCTGTTCCTTTTCCCTCCCAGTGTCCATAATAATATGGAGTGATGGTTGGAGAGCAATCAGCAAGACTCTCCTGCCAGGCACCAGACTGAGAAATCTCCATGTTAAAACAAAATTAAAGGCTTGGTATTGAGTCTGAACCAAACTGAACAGTTAATTGATGGTGAAATCACCACCTGAGAGCACCTGCACATTTGATGTGGAAACCCTTTGAAATGTATGAAAAATTGGGAATTTTTTTGTCCGTTATCAACTCTCATTTGTGGAGCTGTCAGAAGCCTTCACGTGACTCTTCCTTTGAGTGAATTTCTCATGCTTATTGACAAACTGTCATGCACTACTTATTGTTGGATCTGAGGAATTTAAATAACAGCCTTTTGTCTTTGTGGCTCCCTTAGCCTTGTTCCATTTTCAGCCACCCTTTTTATTCTGTTTCTATTCTCTTGTGCTGCTTGTGGAATTAATCCATCTTTTTGCATTTCTCTGCAGAAGCAGGGATTTATGTGCCATGTCTC